TAAGTAAAATTATTGTATGTAATTGTGGTTATTGTATGTAAAAGACATTCAGTTGATTAGTATTACAGAAATCTGATGTGTTTTATTTATGTATGCATCACATTTAGTTTATTTATTAGTTTATGTTAAAACTGTGTGACCAAAATGAATGGGATTTTTATATGCATTCCAAATACATAAATCTTAAATTTAGGCCTAAATATGTATTTAAGCGCAACAAGATTGATATTTTTACAATTTAATTTGATATTACCAGCCTTGTTCTTAAGATTATAAAAGTTCAAAGTGCAAAGAATTGAATGCTGATATGTCAAGCAATATTCAATATAGTGGAATATTATGAGTGATTTATGAGTTGGATGCAAATATTTTTATATTAAAGGTGACATATCATGAAAATCTGACTTTTCCGGTTTTTAAGTGCTATAATCAGGTCCCCAGTGCATCTACCAACCAAGGAGACGTGGAAAAGATTAACCCAGTCACTTTGCTTTGGTAAGCCTTTTTCTGCAAGCGTCTGAGAAAACGAGTGCATCTGATTTCACTCCCTTGGTCACGTAGCAAAGGGATCTCATTATAATATTACTGCCCCTTAATCTGCAAGTTTCCACCCACTGCGCCGTTATTTTGATTTCACAAGCGACAACAGTGTACCAGCTCTAATGTTATGGTGAAAGTTTGAGCAAAACATGCTAACTGTTCTGACTTTGGCTGCACAGATGAGCACAGAACACTATTTAGAGTCCCAGCCTCAGAGAAGACAACAGAGCAGTGGATTTATTGATTTATTTAATGTATATCGCTGCTGCCACACAGATCTAAAATTACATATTGTAAAAAGGGGCATAATATGTCTCCTTTAAAGGAATGGTTTAACCAAAAATGAGAATTCTGTCATCATTTAATCAAACCTGTATGATCTGTATGATTTTCTTTCTCCTTCTGAATACAAAAGAAGATATTTTGAAGAATGTGATGGCCCCCATTGACTTCCATAGTACATACAAAAATTACTATGGATATGTCAACGGCTACCGGCAACAAAATCTCATACACTTACTGTACATGTATTCATATGGCATGCCAGGTTTGACGTCAATGATTTGTGAGCATCGCTGATGTCAAAACGGGTGCAACACGTCTTGACGTGCATACATTTCCATCTAATCTTCAACACAAAGCTATCAGAGAAACTGAAATATCGTCGAATGGAGCACGTGTATGGAGTTTGCCACCCAACCTCAAGAAAATCCAATGGGTTTTGCACAACACGAGGGTGAGTAAATGATGACAAATTTTTCGGAGTGGACTATTCGTTTAATTCGGAAACTGTTTGTGGACTAATAATGTACAAAATGAAATTCGCTTAAGAGTCTTCTTTAGTCTAAGAAAGGAAACCATCTGTGAATCCTAGTGTGTGATTCACGTTGTGGGTTCAGTTCTTATATCCATGAACAGGTCAGGGATGTTCCTGCACACACAGCACTCCCAGCACCACAACAATCCCATGGCTTTAAAAGAATTTATGAATGGACACGACTCACAATGGCCTGCACCGACCAAAATGGTTTAACGCCACTCCCCAGAGATCAGTCATCAGGCGAAATTAGTTTCCATGGGAACTGTCATAAACAATCACGGCTCTCTGTATAGATTGTATCCAATAAATAATGACCTAAACATGTTGAATCAAGACTTGTCTGGGAGAGAGTGGTGATTTAATCCAGCTATATATACCTCGTCTATAGTGTTTTATAGCATAGCACTTAAGCATTTTAGGGATTTGACTGTCCCTGTGTCAAGGTTCAAAGGCTGTCATTCACCCTGACATTATGAGGTTTTCCTTATCGTCCTGCAGAAAATTTGCGACTTCAGAAAGCTTAGTGTATATCCACAGATTTGCAATGCCCCTCATTTAGCTGTACACCCCTTTGTATGCTTGTTTATTAAATTATTTCATGCACTGCAAAAAATTATTTTCTTCCTCAGTATGTTTGTCTTGTTTTCCTTTACAAATATTTAAACATTCTTCAAATCAAGACACATTTAAGACTTAAAGGGTTAGTTCACCCAAAAATGAAAATTAGGCTGTTTTACTCACCCCCGAGGCATCCTAGGTGTATATGACTTTCTTCTTTCAGACGAATCCAGTCGGAGTTATATTAAAAACGGTCTTTGATCTTTCAAGCTGTTTAATGCCACTCAGCAGGTGTTGCATTGCTTCAGTCCAAAAGAACTTAAATAAAAAGCGCCCATCCATAAAAAAAAGTGTCTCACACGGCTCCGGGGGGTGAACAAAGTCCTTCTGTAGCGAATCGATGCGTTTTTGTAAGAAAAATATCCATATTCAAAACGTAATCTGGTATTTGTTATATTAATTTGTTATTGTAATCATAAACACAAGGGTTTTTTTGTACACTGTAAAAATGATTTGATCAATGAAAATTATCGTTTAAGTTTTTCTACTTAAGAATTTCATGTTCAATTCAATGTGTTACTGTTTCTTTGGAATTGTTTGTGAAACTTATTAGCAATGTCTGAGTGAAAATTATTTCTACAGAATTTTCTTTTCTTTCTTTTTTTTTCACTGTAGCACAGATAGTTTTACCGTTTACTGCACTTTGTTATTCTTCTAGTTATTTACATATAGCGGCAGTTATAGGAAGTCTTGTACATTCGGGAAATTCACGGGAAAAACACAAAACAAAATTCTCACATGTTCCAGATCAATGATATGGCTTCAACAGAATTTAAACATTTCCTGATAACTTTTTAACAGCTTGAGTAGTTAGCTCTTCAAAGATTAGAGTTAAATTTAAAGCAAAAATGTCATGCTGTTAAGATGAGCTGTTATGCTGTTAAGTCTCCTTCACATGGCCATAACCATCTAACTCAAATATAATGCCTAATAATAAAAGAAATGTAAAATAGTTTGATTTATTGGAGCTGTGACACTTTGGAAATGCACATGCAATATGCGCATGCACATGAAACAAAGGTTAAGTAAAATGTTTGTGTTGAGTTTTTGTACAATTTTTATGCTTAATATAATAATAGTAAGTAGCCATTAAAAATAGTACATGTTCAAAGAGGGTTTTGACAGATCAAGACCAAAGAAGACCAATTGCAATTTATTATGCAAATATTGTGATCCTGTCATCAAGTCAACTGGAGAATTTCAATATTTCATGTCTTAAAAAGTCTCAAGTTTGACAGAAAAATGTTGAAATTACAAAGCTAAGTTTGACTGAATTGACTTTGTACGTTTTGGCTGAATTAACTGAAGTGAAATACTTAGGGCTAAAGTTGGAATACACTACACAACTTTTGCCCAGATTGGACTTTTTGCCCAATTTACAGTCAGCTAGTTGCCAAAAGTCAGAGTCAGTCTGCAGATTTGAGTCGACAGATTTAAAATCACGTAGTGTATGATGGGCACGGACTCTGATTTTTAAGCTTCAGACTATGATTCCAAGCAGGGTTATTATAGTTAACTAAAACTAAAACTATATTTAAAAAATGCTATTTGAAATAAAATAAATGTTATCTGAAATGAAATATAAAAAAAAAATAGTTTATTTCAGCTAGTTAACAAGAGAATTTTTCTAATTTTACAACATTTGTCTGTGAGTTCAGTGCTGTGTTCAGAACGACTTAGTGTGTGATCCTCAGTTATTTCGTGTATGATGCCCAGTTTTCCCTCTGTAACCATTTACAAAGTAAGCAAGTGTATGTTTGAAAACCTGTTCAGATTTGAAAAGTCATGTAGTTTATTCCAGCCTTTAGGGATTTAGAACAACCTCGAACCACAATGTGTTAGGAATATCAATACAGCACTGCACTGTAATTAAGAAATAAACACTATAGTATGATTTTGGCAGGACTTTACAGTTTTGTTTACATCTCTAGCATATCCAGGCTGAAGGTAAATGTCCACAATGGACAGGGGGTGGAGCTGGTGTGTGGTATAAAGAGGGGGATGAAGCACATGCCCCCACCGTACACCCTCCCTCTCCTCTAGTCAGCCAGCCCTTTCTCCAGCAGCATCTCTAATGCCACAGTGCTGCTCTCACTGTCAGACGCTCTCATCTTGAGGAGTGGAAATAAACACAGTGCCTGTTTAATTCAGTTCAGTTGTCAGAGCTGCTTCATTACATGGCGCACCAGGTAGCAACTGCCAAAGGCGTCTAATCCTCTGGTGTGGAAAGGATCAGGGAGAACTCTCGGCGAGAGGACAGGACACGTCGGACAGGTACCAGACTCTGGGATCGTAATCTCCATCTGTAATGAGGCGTGGGGCCCACATCACGTATCTGAACATTTGAATTTGGACGTGTTTGAGGAGAGGTGTTCATGGCAACATGTGTGCACCTCTCTCAGACAGAGAGCATGACGGGATTTTGGCTTCTGTAGGAACTTGCAGTCAGCTTTTCCTGACTTTTATGAATCATTACAGAGGAATCTGTTGGATAAACATCTGTTTGAAGCTGTTTTCCAAGTGATTACTTCTTTCGGAGTTGTGTATCTAAAGGATGTAAGACAAGGACCTGCACAGTAAACATTTAAAGAACTGCACATGAACAGCTGCTTTTGTAAACGAGTGCTTCCAAATTCTTCAAATCTATATCTATATGTATGTATTTTGATGAGTTATAGTTTGCAGGTGTTTTGAGTGACAGACGGTTGGCATGTCCTTTAATCACTCGCTTTTGTGTGAAAGTGTAATGCTGGCTGGGAGAACAGCTAATGGGTTTCTATTCGCAGCGCTCATTATTTAAGGCTGGTTGCTTATCACAGTAAAGATTGAGAGGACATTCTTCTATCTTTACTTTTTTCTGCAAGTAAAACATGACAGCACATTACTGAAAAGTGATTTTCGGCAAGACTTTGCTTACACCTTGACCCAAAAAAGCTCACCAGTTGCACTTGCTGGTTACTTTTCACCGTGCAGATTGTGAGAACATTTTCTTCCTTTTTTTTTCTTCCTATTTTGGCAAAAAAGTCTCCAAAGTTTAATAGCCTGCAAATGTCTTAAAGCAGAATGAGGATATTTGGATCATTTTTTATACCCTTGGCATCCCTGGATTTCTGAAGGATCCTGTAACTGAGGAATGCAGTGTGTATCCTGGACGGTCCACTATAAATTTTCATAAACACTGCGCAGGATTCGTCCATATAAAGCAAGAAACTAGCAGCACTGCTTTACTCCTCTAACGAAAAAGGACTGGAATATTGATCAATGCCATTTTTACCCAGAGGTCAGCTGAACAGACGCGCAGTGGAGTCTGGATAAGCCAGGTAGACGGTAAGAACACATACTGTTCTCTCAGCTTAACTACAGTTTAAGAGTTGAGATATTCTCAAACACAATAATGGACAGACATCTTGCAAAAAAAATGCAATCAGGTGTGTGCAAAAAGGCTGTAAGATGTTTGTTTAGTACAATAAAAAAACATGCTAAAAATAACGGTTACTCTTTACTTTAGGGTGCCTTTGTTACAGTGTAATTTTACAGTTAAGTATTGAGTAAAATTCATTAACAACCTGTACTTATTATAGGGCTAGGGAAAGGGTTTAGTTGCATGTAATTATGCATAATTTACTGTTACTATAGTAAGTACATATAACGTGTACACAAGGACACTGTAAAAAAAAAAAAGTGTTACCACTATAACATACAACACCACAATTGCTGTGAGTATATAACACAAATTGCATAAAGTGCCATTTTCATGACATGCTTTTGTGCATTCAAAAACATTTGGATGAAGTGCAGGAGTTTCATAAAAGTTTTCATTTTTGATCCTTAACTTAAGTGCTCCTGGTGTAAGATACTGAAAAACAACAAAAAGTGACGCAGGCCGACAATGACAAAACGGAGAATACAAGACCACATTCTCTGTATAATGATTTTAGTTTAATTTGATTTTATCTTTATATTTTCTGCTTTCATGTCATTTTAAAGTTTAGTAATTATATTATGTGTTTTTGTCATTTTTATTAGTTGCATTAAATGTTGCAATGGAAACTAGCTAAAATAAAATAAGTTTAAGTTTTTTGTATTTTATTTGATATATTATTTCAGATAACATTTATTTTAATTTTAAAAATTATGTTTTGTTTTGTTATGTTTTGTTTCTTTTTTATGGTTTTAGTTAGCCAAAATAACCCTGCTGTGGACTGTAGGCAAGTGATAGGCTTATGTTCAATGATATAGAAACAAACAATATATTAGCTTACATGCTGACGTTTTGTAATGAATTATCAATGCCTTACACATCTGCCACAATGATGCCTCTATTATGTATCTCTATTAATTTATCTTATTTCTCTGTATTTGTGCATTCGGTGTTGGCGAGAGCCACTTGCTCTTGGCATATTTGAGTTTATTTTGCCATCAGAAGATGCCAAATGAAAGAGAAAGTGACAGATTGAGGTCTGTCATCTTCCTATTATAGTGCACTGATATGAACATCCCAGAATCATCGTGAACTGTCCTTGCATTTACGTTAGATACAGCTTGTCCTATAGAAGCGAACATGTAACATGAACAACTAACATGTTCTGTTCTTCCTAAAAGCCAGAGTCAGTAGTGTCAGCACTATGAACTGAATGGCAAAAGATAAAGCAATCCATCTAACCTATCTCTCAGGTCCTGTTTGCATTAAGACTTGTCTCAAGTGGACAGATGAGATAAATCACCGTTTGGATATGGTAGATTTAAGCATCTATTATGAAAGGATTTTATTAAGTTACTGCAGCTTTGTTCTTATGATCGTATGATCAGAGAAGCTGACATAAAATGTGTGAATAACAGTGAAAAATAACTTGTGGCATGCCATATGTGGCAAACTTGCTCACAAATTTTTTTCTGAAAATGTATTTTCAGTTAGGAAATGCAATTGTCACTCTTGAAACTGACCGAACTGCATCTGGACAGATTCGTATCTGGCACTTGTGTGAAGGGTAACCTTAGTTCCCTTTCGATACTTCACTCGTACTGCGTCTTGCTTAAGACGTGCAATTCGCTCGTGCAGAGCAAGGACGCACACGTCCTCCGCTCAGAGGTGATGAAATTGCTGGCCAAAGGAGCCTTGGAAAAGGTTCCTCCAGCCCAGAGCGAGTCAGGCCTTTACAGCCGTTACTTCCTCGTCCCCAAGAGAGATGGTGGCCTCCGGCCCATCCTCGATATCAGACACCTGAATCGTGCCCTCGTAAAGAGGTCGTTCAGGATGGTTACACTGAAACAGATCCTCGCGCAAATCCGCTCGAGAGACTGGTTCTTTTCCCTGGACCTGAAGGATGCATACTTTCTGTATCTCAGGGAACCGAGGTTACGTTAGTAACCGAGTACGTTTGCACAGATCTTTTTAGTGAACCATGTAATTGTGTGTGCGCTCCTATGGTTTGAATTCAGAGCCCATTACATTAATCATTCATAGAAAAGCCCAAGTGAGTCATTCAGTCCTTCAACACATCTTATCCATCACTACCATAGTCATTATCTGGATAAAACAAATCTGCCCAGATATGTTTATGACAATCTGCCAAAGAAAACACAGCTTCACCTGAATGGACGTCCCTTCAGATCACATCTTCAAAGTTAGAGCGCCTTTCAAACTCGGATGGCTATTTCTATAACACTTTGTTATAGTACACTTTGCAGGATTCAGCAAAGCCAGGATATAAACTGAAACTATTTTTCACCTTATATTTGATTTCCAGGGGCATTTTTTTTTTACTTTTATTAGTGCAAATCTTCTAAACTTACTAAAGATGATGTATCATCTTTCATATTGAATTTGCTATGTAAATGCAATTTGATAAATTGAATCAAATGAAATAATTATCAACAAAATCCAGAGTTACATTGCAGAAGTGACACAAAATCTGCATCTGAGGCGGCAATTATATGTATTTATACAGACTATTCAATGCAGCTCAGAGAAGCCATGAATGCATATACACTGCAGTTACAATTCATATATTTGTTTTATTTATTTAGTCATTTATCAGACGCTTTTATCCAAAGCGACTTACAAATGAGGACAACAGAAGCAATCAATTGTAGTATTAAAACAACTAAAAACAGATCCAAAACTAAAACTTTATAAATACTACCTATACACATTTTAAAAATAAAGAGATTAAATAAAAATGACAAATGCATACAACAGAATTTCAAAACTTAACATTTAAATGAAAAACAAAAAATAAAGCTAAAAACAATTCAAAATATTAAAGAACAAAAGGTATAAGAGTATAATAATGATTCTAACATAACACTAAGCCAAACACCAAAAAAACAACTAGATGTGTATGTACAACCACACACACATACATATACATATATACATACACATTTATAAATTCAATATATATATTATTTCATTTCCATTTAGTTTGTTGAAGTATTAAAATAACTCAAATTAAAATAATACAAATCAAATGACAGTAGTTTATCAGTAATCCTAAAAAATAACACTGCCAAACACACATGCTAAAAAACAACAACTTACTTACACATAGTAAGAAATGGTTATAAAAACTGAAACAGAAGCGAAACAAGTAATAGGAAAGAGGATAAATAAAAAGCAATACTTATTATATGTAATGTTAGGAGCTTAATGTGTTAAATATAACAGATTGAACAATGAAATTATACTTTAAATATGAATCTAAAACTGCCAGTAGGTGGCAGCAAATTACTGTCTTAATAAGTGAATCATTGATTTACTAATTCAACCAATTCGTTCAAAACAGCTGATTCTTTCAGGAATTAAGTGACTTGCTGATTTTCTAGCATCTAGTTCTGACATAAAAAGATAAAATAGTAAAAGATGATATGAAAAAGATACTAAAAATACCAAAAGATGTGCTAAAAATAGTAAGAGTAGTAAACTAGTATGCAGTTTTGAATTCAGCAACTGTCTTTATGAATGGCTTATTGAATCATTGACTCACTCGATTCGTTCAAAAACGCTGAATCATTCAGGAATGAAACCCCTCCGTATTAATCTGAGACGCAATGTTTGGCAAAGTACATACTGACAATATTGTGTTTGAAATGTATATCAGTTAATATTAACTTGAACATAACATTAACAATCTCAAAAGGAGGACAAATGAGCATCTGTCTCAATATACCTACATTGTATTTCAAAACTGGACTATCTGACCTAATACTGGACAGATGGCCACCCTACTTCAAACTCAGGTTTTATATCTTTTGTGTGTAACAGTGTGCTTTTACATCCAGTGGCAAAACTTCACTCTACTAACTTCTGTTCTGTGGTAAATGGCCATTGGCACATCAAAAAGAGTGAATGTTAATGGCTATATGATCAGTGAAAGTCAGCATTAATCCTGAATCAAAGTGACAGCGTTTTGATAAAGGCCATATTTCAGAAAGACAGCCTGACAATTTCAGAAAGACAATTTTATTACTAAAGTTTAAATAAATCATTATTTAATAATCATTAATATTCTTTTATATTAAACCTAAATAATTGATGGTTCCCACTTACAGGGAAGGGTGCTTTTAATCAGTTGATTGATGTGGACATATGTAAGCAATCACCTAAAGGCACTGCAGTTTTTCCAGTGTGTGTTAAGGTCTATTGAGAGTTTTTAGTGTCTCCACGTCTTCAAGATTTTTAAAAGCCTCTTTAAGCTCCTCTTGGGAGCTTCTGAGATTCATTGTGTTAAAGACTGCAATATGAAACATCTCATTCATGCATGTCTCATGCATTTGCCATTCATTAACACAATCACCACAAAACTCTTATGTTACACTCCCACCCTAACTGCAAAAATAAACAATGTGCTGAATTTGAGCCATTCATAATATAGCTGATAAACATCAGGGTGGTTATGTTTAATTTAAGAGGCATCTGTTCATTTTCCATGAGTTTTATATTGTTGTTTAGTGTGTAGTGATCAAGGCCACTGAACACAACGCCAGAGATATGAGGAAACCTAACACAGTTGCGCAGAAGAAGACAAGCTGAGAGCAGTAGAGTGATTGATTTTGTCCTGCTTTTAGCACCTCAACTTCCTCTGACTCTACAGATAAAGAGAAACGTCCACCCTTTGAATAGTCATTTGACTTGGACCTGACTTTGCATTGCTTAGGATGGAAGCAGAACTTCGTCAGTCTGAATAACATTAAAGAAACAATACACTAGAACATATTCATCTAAATGCTTCATTTCTACATGGACTAATCATAGTATTTAAAAAGTGAGGCGTGTAATTTCTGGGTCACTAGCGTCACCAAATGCAATTGCAAAAGTAATGAAAGTT